ACTTCAAAATTGTATGTAGAGAACTTTCTTCCAAGGAATCAGCTTTTCCTGGAACTACAAGTACAAATAATGTAGGTTTGTTTATAACAAGATTCAACATAATTTATGCTTCACTAAATCACAATCAAGCCCCATATATTGTATTTAAAAGAGCAGGCCTCTTTTATAATTTCTTACATATATACAAGTGCATAGGAAAGAACTGACTTTCAGCAAAGGACAGGTTCTAAACATATATCTGGATGCCATGAACCATTATACTGTCAACAAGTTGATATATCCTATCCCACTGTGTTTTCAAAGCAGGGAAAATTCTGGGAATTGCACTGCATAAACTTATTTGATATTGACGGTGTCAAAGTAATCAAAGTATGGTAACACCTAAACAGGAACGATGATTCATTGGTTTACATTCGGCAGGTTTCTACTTCAGCCGCTAACAGTAGAATAACAGTAGGAAACAGGTGTAAAAAGATTAGAAGAAACTCTCAAAAGAACAGAGTACTATTCATTTTGTTTCTTCTAATTTCTAACTCATCTACTAGCAATAAAATAACTACAGAAAATAAGTGTGAAAAGGTCAGAGAGTAAACTCTGACCATAAGTACTTGGAAATTTTGTAATCGTTACTAACAATACTGTACATTTTATTTTGCAACCATTATTTTCGTTATACTTTGATTACTAATATACAACTTGGAGAAATAAGTATAATGTTACAGTACAAAAAATAAATAAAATATAAAGCTTTATTGAAAATAAAAATGTTTGATATTAAATTATGAGTTTTTTTTAATTTTTCATTTGTTTTAACTGTTTATTGTTATAAAAGTAAAGAACAAAATAAAAATAGAAAGTTGTTATGTACGATAATTAAAGGAAAATAATAAAAAACCTTCACGGGGTATACATGCCAGAAGCTGTTCGATAGGGTCATGCTGATGCAAGTGCACCATGTAATTTTCTGCTGAGGTATTTTTAGTCAGACACGGTTCAAAGATCAATAAAAAAATAATAATAAATATAAATAGATTTATACTGTTAAGAGATTTAAACTATCTAGAATAAACATTTGTGGTTTCCTATTACAATTTGCAGTTATTCTAGAACAAAAAAGGTAATTTAGATTTATTTCCTAATTTCTATGATGGTTACGAGGCCGGTCAAATCGATCAACATCATATAGAGTTAATATTGATAAAATAACAGGTTAAATATAAAATTTTATGATTATCTAGAAGGATACAGAGATTACAAAAATGAAACTTCACAAATTTCAGATAAAGAAAAGTATGTTGAATCTTAAAATCAACATTACTTTGTATGCTGGATAATCAACATTCTGAAAGAAAAAATTCACGAGCAAATCTTTAATAAAAAAATCTTAAAACATAATTCAAAAACCAGATATTTTATGTATAAAATCCTTATAATGTTTACTAATAATCTGCAAAATTTTGTAAAGACTTGCATACATTTTCAAAAATTATAGTACAATTACTCTCATGGATACTTTCCTGGTTACGAGCTGGGTGGTTTCCACCCAGCCTATAATGGAAAGGTTAAAAAGAGTCATGTGGTACTTAGAATGTAAAGGTCATTGCAGTAGGAACATTGAGTAAAGAAATGGAATAATATGAAAATTAAGCAGTACTGGCACAAATGCCACTCTACAGGCAGCTGTTTGTGCTAGTAATTTTATGAACTTTTCTTTGTGGTGCCATTCAATAGATGGAGCAGGAGTTTTGGTTACTGACATATAACCTACATCCATTATAGTAAGAAGATTGTTTACCCTCATCCTGACTGAAACTATGAGGATAGATGTCATATCATGCTCACCAACCAACCCTCTACCAGCACAGAGGATAGAAGTTATAATTTTCCTATACTGAAAATGTATTTCTGATAAGTGCTTCCCTCCTCTCACAAGATTAGCTATTTTTGTTCATTGCTGCCCCCTATATGCAAATTATTTCTTTACGTATGCCACAAGCCTTCTGCTCTCCCCTATTGGAATCAAGTGATTCCAACGTGTCTCTCATGTAAATCATCATGCATCACCTCTCCACCAATAGGAGCATAGTATACTCACATGATACATGTGACTCCCTCTATGTGCTTTTATCAAATTATCACTTTGAAGTTTGGCAGAAAACTGAAGCACTGTAAGTGTGTGGGAAGGAAAGGTAAGATATGTGAGTGGAGGGAAGCACCTGTCGGAAATACATTTTCAGTATAAAAAATCATAACGGTACTTACGAGGTATAATGAGATAGAATCCCACATTGATTAGGAGGAGAGACCAGTGCGAGGGAATGACAGATATACCTTCCTAAAGCATCCGAAGATTACTTCTGTAGATGAGAGAGGGATATCTAAAGAGGGGAACGACACCACTTCTGAGCCAGGTATACTCTTTGCCCATGTGTGGAATGTGTAAGATGTTAGGGCAAAAAATGAGAGGAGCACATCCAAGTAGGAGAGAATGTGGTAGGAAAGTGATCCTAACCAGAGAAAGATATTGTAACTCATTCTGACAATGAGAAAAGTGGGTAAACAGGGATCTGTCCCTTGGTGTAGAGTGGCTAGGGCGAGGCGGACCATAATCAGCCAGTCGTCAACTATATCCAAAACCTCCTCGTTAGGGTATTGACATCTGTGAAAGGGTAGGATGAGGATCAAACCCTCTTCACCTCAAACCCAAGAACCAGGGAAGTGAGAACCACTCCAATTCCCGGGTATGACACAAGGATTAACTCTGAGCTACCGATTCTGGAACTTGACATTGGTATCGAAATGATATCTATTGCATTCAATCAACTCACCCAACCATGAAATAGGCCGGGACCCTCCAAATGGCAATAACATCCCCTTAAGAAGAGAGAATGACAGATAGCTAAGGAGAGAACTGGAACAATCCCATGTACCACTACCGTGACCCACAACACAGATGGAGGAAATAGAGGGAGGAAGACAGATAACCAAAACCTGTGTGAGGACTTATGTTGAATGGTTCATTCTAAATCCAAAAGCTGCCTGTGGGGTACCAACATCCAAGCAAGGGTAGGATGAGGGTTCCCAATCATAGGGGTGAACTGCATTGTGATGTCTCACTCTGTTGTATTGATTATCGCAAATTGGAGGATATGATGTCATCTACACCTGCAGAACACCACTGCCCTACTCTTCACTGAATGTTATAGCCATCTTTGTGTGGAACCCGTGCCTCCATGGTTGATCACCCCAGTGGCTTGGAATTGGTAAGTGGTAAGGACTCCCATATTCCACTAGAAGAAATGGGGTGAGAATGCATTGGAGAATCTGGATGAATATCATCACCTGAGAAAGTGCAATGACTGATCACAAATGCTATTTTGAAAAACAGACCATACCTATTTATTCAATCAAGGTATGGTAGGGATGGGCTGCTATCTCCTTCTGCTTTACCCAAGAAGTCCTTGGGTGGTATGGTCTGGAATGAGAAATTTATGAAATTGAGGAGACCATAGACCCCTGGTCGAAAAGCCACGTAAAAAACTCGGAGAAACCAGACACAGTAGGTCAAGCAGCTAGAAATCCCCGAGCATGGGACCATGTGTGATAGACTTTCCACTTCCATTGATATACTTCCATAAAAGAAGGACGTTTGGATTGAGCCAAATGGAAAGCTACATGACGGGAGAAACCAGATCTCCTTGCCAAGGACTGGACAAAAGCCAGGCATGTAGACGGAGGACATAAACAGTGGGATGTAGTACTGAGGTTGACGAAGAAGGTCAGAGAATAAGAAAAGTGGTATAGGAGGGAATAGTTGGAGTTGGTGCAAATGAGGAAACCACGGTTAAGTCGACCAATAGGGAGCTATCAGAAGAGCTATCATGGAGTGGCATGGATTAGGGAAACCATCCAATGAAGCAATCAGATAGGAGGATAAATATATAGGACATTGTGTGACCAACCTTGGCTAAGGCATCAATAGCCAAAGCCTGAGGATGAGGTACTGGAGACCACAAGAGAGGTATCTTGTGATTCAGAGTGGTGGCAAATGCATTGATGTGAGGAAAACCTCACCGGTTACAATGCAATCAGAAAACGAGAGGATGGAGGGACCACTCTGTTAGATAAATCTTGTTGGGGCAGGAAAGACCATCTGCCAATAAAGTGAAAGCAACTGGGATATGACACACAATTAAACAAATGTGGGCCTAACAGGGGAGATCCAATGTATGAAAACAGATGGATTTCAACTGGGTGCCACCTTGGTCATTGATATATGCCACCACTGTTGATCTTACGGAATGAATCATCACCATACAATGTCTGGTTAGAGGGAGGAAGTGATCCAAAGCCTGATGGACAGCTAGAAGCTCTAGGACATTGATATGGAATGACTGATAGTCTACAGACCAATGACCCCAAGCCTCCTGGTGACCAACCTATGCACCCCAGCCTTGAAGGGATGCAAATGAGGAGGAGGAAGTGTGACTCCCACCGATATATGAGTCTTGTCCAACCACCAAGTCTGATCATCTGCTAGGGAAGGAGGATGTGTAATAGGAGCATCCAAGGGATCCCAAGCAAAGTTCCATTGATCGTGCAGAGTCCACTGTTGGGAACACGTGTGCACGATCTAGGAGGACCAGCGGTGTCATAGAAGACCACATCCCCAAAAGCTTTCTGAAAGTGAGGGAGCAGACAGGATGTGATAAACTGACAATTCATAAAACAAGAGTCAGAGAGAAGATTGGGCCTGACTAAGGTGAATGTTGAAAAAGACTCTCAAAGGTACAAGGTATTGGGTAGAATGTAAATATGACTTCTTCAATTTGATTAACCAGCCCAACCAAGCAGCCACTTGAAGAAGCTGGTGAGTATGACTGGCCAACTCCCATTTGGAATGGGCTAGAAGAAGCCAATTGTCCATGTAATTATGGAAACACAACCCCAGAGCATGAAGATGATGAGCAAAAGCCCTGAGCACCCGATAGAAAAAATAAGGTGCAGAAGTAAGCCTGAAAGATAGGGTGTGAAAGTAGTACACCACCCTGTGA